AAAAAAAAAAAATGGAGTTTGGACATTAGGATGTGGGTTGGGGCCACTATTAAATGGTTACAAAACTTAAGGGCCGGCTTGCTTATTTAAAAATATATTGATATTTGGTTAATTTTTTTATTAGTTAATTATGGTTAATTTCGAAAAAATTGTGTGGTTAGTTGTTTGTGAGATTTTAAGTTTGTAATAAAATAATATTCACTACAAAAAAAATTGTTATACTCCAACGGCTAAATTGATTGTCGACTTATCTTTCAAAACTTTAGTTCATAAAACTCCATTAATTTTTTTGATAATTTCTTTAAAATAAAAAGATATATTCTATAAAAATTATATTTTTTATTCTCGTGTTAATTATTTACATAATGATGGGAAATGCGACCCACTAACTTATCAGTTTAAACTCATAAAATATTGTAAACAACTATTTTTTGTGTTTATTTTTTGTGCTTGTAATATTTTATTTTAGGTTTTTTTCGATCCATTTAATCATTGTTGGTCACTTTTACATTTGTGATGTTTTGTATGTTTTCCTTATTTTGTGTTTTCGTGTTGTTATTGTATTTTCGCGTAGCAGTGGCCGGCTAGGCCGCGCAGCCCACCGATCGCCCTAGCAAGCCCGTCGCACACACACTCCCCGCGCCACTTCGCTCGCACGCTGCACCCAACGTCTGCACACTCCGCGTGCCCCCGATTCTGCAGTGCGTCATGCCCACCCAAGGGGCAAACCCGCATGCAGCGAGTGCCCGGCCGAGCCATGCCCTCCCAGCGGGCAAATCCGCACGCGAGTCTTGAAATAAAATGAACGGAAGGACATTTTGTAATGTTATTTAATGTAAGTTGAAGAGATTGTTCTTTAAACTTAAGTGTAGGAATTGTGAAGAGATAAATGAAAGAGGGAGATGGATTGCGGGATTTTTATTCAACACTAGTACAACAATCGTGTATTACACTTGTTAAAAAATTATTTTTAAATTTTAAAATTAATGAAAAAACTATATTAAATTTAGTTTACTTTCTTAAAAAAAATATACTACTATATATTTTAGAATGATATGTGTTACTTATGACTTACATGTGTTATATTATATTAGTTTTTATAACTTATATCATATAACTACTTGAAATATAAATATATTAGTTGATAAATAATTTTATTTTTCTAATTAATATTAAAAATAATTTTATTATTGTTATAAAGATAAATATAATTTTTTTTATACATACAATATGGATGTTAAATCGAAGCTCGTCAAAAGAAGATTAATTTGATATATTAAATATGTAAAACTGATAAAAAATACAAATGTTATTAACTTTTAAAATATATATACAATTCAATAGTTATAATAAGGAATAATATTAAAATACAATTAATACATGTAACATGACCATAAATAATCAACATATTTATGGTAATCTGAACCTAATTATTTTTTGTTTGGAATTAAATTAAAATTTACCCAAGCCTAATAACGAAACATGTAATTTTGCCACATAGGATTCCGAAGCATTAGAAGCAGTCACGTAGGCTCAGCGCGTTCTGTATTAATATATAAGGGGGATTGGCTTCATTATTACGAGCACTGAGTTGTAGGGCATATTTCAGGGTCTTTTGTTGGCATGGGAGATGGGATACCGGAAAGTTGTGGCCGAAGTTGATAGCCTCTGCGTGAAAAATATGGTGTGCGAGTCTGAGGGCGACTTGGGGCCCCATGATGCACTGGTTCGAGCTATCCGAGATTTGATTCACAGAGATTAGAGCGTTAACATCCAACACATATATAGGAAAGCCAACTTTGCGGCTGATCATATGGCGAGCATGGCGGAATCGTACCCGATTGGTTTACATCGCTTGGTATCTCCTCCGGCGGGACTAGGCTCTTGGCTTGATCATGACAATGTCGTATCCCCATCGAGTACTACCTTAGGCTTCTAACCTCTTTCTTTGTACAAAAAAAAAAAAAAAAAAAAAAATGAAAGAGGGAGTAAGGATGGGCCCAATTAAATTCCCTATTTTTTTAATGGGCCCAATTAAATTCCCCATTTTTTCTTTTAATAACTATGACTCATAAACGTGATATTATTTATGTCTCTCAGCAAAATATTCAAATCCCCCATCGTTATTGCAAGTTGACACGATTCTTTGATCGGTGCTTGGAAAAGGATTCATATTCTTTAGCGGATAAAAAGGTAGAAAACAAATGTGGATTCTCTTGATTATTATTGTAGGTGGTCTACCTGAGCAGCTCACTATATAAAGATTCTCTTGATTATGATCTTCATATACTCAATTTCATATAGTTTTTATTATTCCTATCAAGGATGAAAACAAATGCTAAGGAGATATGGTTGAGGAAGGTGATAAATGTGGTCTGTGTTCGTGATCGATGTCGAGTTCATAACGTTCAGACACTGATATGGCCTACAGAGTAGCTCGGTGAACCGAGTTGTGGAGGTAATTAGCTCGAGATGACCTTTTAAGGACCTCTTGACATTTCACGAGGGTACTAACTACCTCCTGAGAATTCACGGAGCTCGTAAGCCTAGGATGCACGTTAGCTAGCATGTCAACATGATCTAGGAACCTTATAACAAAGATTTACCGCCGAGACCCCTCACGATGTATTTTGCAGGTCACTGGAGTTCAAGTTAAAAGGCGGCTCTCGAAGTTGTCTGTCTATCTAATTGGTTGTGACAATTTGCATGTTAGATATAAGTAAATTGAGTATGTTATTTTATAGTATAAGTATATATTTTTTTTTATTTATTTAAAACGTCTGATAGATCGTCTAGCGGTTAGACTGTCTCACACAATAATATATTTAGAAACAAAATTTAAAAAATAAAATAATATCAAAAGAGGAATACAAAAAGTTCTTTAACCAAGTATAGGCATCCGAATGTTTATATATTTAAAATCTTTTTATAGTGGAACGATGTGTACTAATTATTCTTTTAGAATTATGTCAATGTCTCAAGAATGATTCCACAAAACTTGACTAAGAAAGGGATAGTAGGACATAATTTCGAAATTGATCCTATAATATGGTCACTTTCTAAAAAACTACTCCGTCATTGGTCACTTTCATTCGTGGTCCTATAAATTGTCCATTTAATCGAATTTGGTCCTTTTCTAATCAAATTTGGTCCTATAATTTGACATTTTGGTCCTTTTGTAATCTCATTTTAATCCATATTCTAAATAAAAAGGACCAAATTTGATTAAAATGTCAAATTATAGGATCAAGTTTGAAAGTGGCCAATGGCGGGGTGGTTTTTTGGAAAGTGGTCAAATTATAGGACCAATTTTGAAATTATGCCGGGATAGTAGGGTGCTGTTTTTAACCCTTGATTTATATGTACTCACACACCATTTTTAGTGACAACATGAAATGTTCTCTATTCAGCATATATATGTCATGTTTAGTGACAACTATTCGAAATTTTGTAATCCTTATCACCACCATTTTATTGAGCTATCTATCCTCTTCACAAAGGCTGTAGTAGCATTTCTCATTCATAATTCCAGTGTGAGGCATAATATTGATAAGCAGTGCTAATATGCAAACATATATGACAAGTTTAATTCTAAAGTGAGTCAAAATTCAGTTTCTTATATCAAGTTTAATCGATTTTAAGGTACGTTGTGCCGTAATTCCACCTTAAAAATTAATTTTGGTGCCAATCATATTTCGTACGTTAGATTTTTAACAAAAATTCATGCTTTCTACGCACCAGCACCGAAATCTTGATGAGTAATTTTAAGTAAGGTCGCGATGGGATGAGTCTAACCGATTTTAATCAGATTTTAATAAGTTTTGATTGATTGAGTTATTTTATATTAACTAAATTCAACTCAACTCAATTCTTCTATTTTTTATCAATATCATTAAATAACACCAACCAACAATCTTCACACATCAAATTAACTCTAATTCACTATTTATCCATTTACACAATTTTAACTATTGATTACTTTTAAATATGATTAAATAATATCAACCAATATGGCTCAATATGGTATCACTCGCCGGTTAAACTCCGATCACCTTTGTTATTCCGCTGCTACTCCGATTCTTTTTCGCTTTGATTTCCTTTTTCACCTTCAAAATCGAAACCCTAGATCTACTCCGATCTTCTCAGATCTACTCCGATCTACTCCGGTCTGTTATCAATCGTCGTCTCCATCAACATGACGACAACGATTTCGCCCTTTGATGATCCGTCTATGCCGTTCTACCTCCAGGCTTCAGACAATCTCGGAGCCTTGATCGTCGCAGAGACATTCAACAGTGACAACTACATCTCCTGGTCGCGCGCAGTTACCATGGCTCTCAGCGTAAAAAATAAGGGAGGATTCATCGATGGTACAATCGTTCCCCCTCCTTCCTCTAGTACTATTCAGTTTATGTCATGGTTGCGTGCGAACAACCTTGTTTTGTCTTGGATTCTGAACTCTATCTGTAAAGACATTCGTCAATCTTTGTTGTATTTTACTTCTGCACAAGAGGTTTGGGATGAATTGCGTAATTGTTATGCACTTAGCACTGGTCCTAGGGTTTTTCAAATTGAGAAATCTCTAAGTACTATTACTTAGGGTGCATTGTCTATCACACAATATTACAATAGTTTTAAGGCTCTGTGGGACGAATATGTAACATATAGGCCGATTGTTCGATGCACTTGTGGGGCTTTCTCTGTCTGTACTTGTAAGTTGTAATATATTTGAATCTATTT